ATGTGATCGGGAAGGCACAGCGACTTGATATAAAACCGGTGTTGGCGAGAGTTAAATCAGTTCATAAGATGTGTGTGTTCACCAGAATTATGTTTGTTTAAAATATATTGTAAGTATATTTTCCTACTTTTGCAGTGTTATGCTTCGATATGATTTATTTTGTTGTAAATTTAAATCCTTTTTGATGGCTCCTTAGATCTGTGTACATAATTAAGTTAAAAAAGAATTGCTTAAACCTAGGCCCATAACTTCCCGATCACATGAGATAATGTGTGTGGCAAAATGAACACATATTCAAAGCCCATAATTGAGTTTTAAGTTATTTTCTATCTTTTATAATGGTTTCCATTACAAGTCCTATCCCCTCTTATTTCATTTGTTCTCCCATCTTTCCTTGTGTTACTCTTTGTTCCAAACTTTTATTTTTCTTTCATTATGTTGTTCCCTGTTTTAACACTGCGTTGATCTCTTATTTTGTGTATATTTTCGTTTTTTTATATTAAAAAAGAAATCATTCCTCATTTTATTCTTCATTCTATCATTCTACCATTTACCCCTTTGCCCCTTATTTGAACCCCCTTTCTCCTTTAAACCCAATCTTTCCTCCTATCCTTCCCTTTGAATTTCCGTTCCATAGACAACTTAAGTATTATTTCCATATAAGCTGCATATAGGCATTACTAAAAATAAAAGGCACCAATATGTCCTTCGTGTTAGTGTGGTCCAAAAAGCAACCATCATTCTTACGGATTATTTGTTCATCAGATGTTCATTGTTTGACTGGAGAAAAAAAAATGATTTTGAGTCATGGGTAAATTAAAAACAAAAAAAGAATCTTATTTTTATGATATGTTTTGTAATACGGTGCCAATCATGATATAATACATGTCCTGGAAAGAAGGAAATAGGGCTCAGAAGTAGCTTATGCTTTGTTTAAAAATATTGGGGGAAAATGTGTGTGGCAAAATGCATAAGATTGAAGTTGTAATAATTTCAAGGAGCGAATGAAACTATTTGAGCCTAATATCCTAATAACCTAATACGATATTTTGATGTTTTATGGATAATAAATAAAATGAACCTAATTTTGATTATCTTATATCAATATTCTCTTTATATCTTTTAACATATTGTATTGTAATGTGCATACGGTTGGGTTGGGTAAATCTTACGTGGAAGAAGTCTTTAAACAGAACGTGAGAGAAAAGAGAGAAAGAGAGAGAGAAATAAAGAGAAAGAGAAAGAAAGAGAGAGAGAGAAGAAAGAAAAAAGGATAAGAGAATAAGAGAGAAGTATTTAATGGTAAGAGATGTTAATGTTATGAAAATGAGAAATATATAATGCTGTGACTTAGTGTGTGAAAGAGAGAGAGAGAGAGAGTGAGAGAGAGAGAGACAGAGTGAGAGAGAAAGAGAGAGAGTGAGAGAGAGTGTGAGAGAGAGAGAGACAGAGTGAGAGAGAGAAAAAAAAAGCAAATGAGAAAAGGAAAGATAATAAAAGAGAATGGTGAGAAATGTTAATGTCATGAAAATGAGAAATATGTAATGCTGTGATATAGTGAGAGAGAGAGGGGGAAAAAGAGTGAAAGCAGTTGCCAATATCATGTTAAAATATATAATTTAACTGTTTTTAATACTATTAAAAACAGCTGAAGCATGTGGGGGAGGGGGGGGGGTAATACCAACATCATATTCCCTGTCCCGCCCCTGCTCTCTCCAACTGACAGGGTTTGGAACAGCTGATAAATATACACATGATTGGGTTCTCAAAAGAGAAAGGGGATGGGGGTGCCAAGTTACATTTAAAATTTGCTAAGCACCCTCCTCCCCCTCACAAAATATGTGAGGAAGAAAAAAAAGAATTAAATGTCAAATGTTCCCATTTGTTTTCAACAATAAAAAAGGCGTTCTAATTTGCCAGCAAAAATTTAATTGTGTTTCTCCCCCCCCCCCCCCTCCTCTTCACAATGATTCCCCTAATATTCTCACCCACTTTCTTCATTTTCTTTCTTTTTTTTTTTGTTTAATTTTAAGCTTGTGCCATCATGGACTGATTATACACATACAATTTAATTACATCAATCATTTTAAAGTTTACTTATTGCTAACGAACAAGATCCATTTATGATTCTTATGACAGGAAAAAAAAATTAAAATCTATCAAACACACAAGACGCCAATATTCATATGACACCAACCATTCCAACTATCTAAATAATCAGCAGTCATGGCAATCGTAATTATTTTTATTGGAGAAGGCCATGTTGCAATGCCACTTTTGTGGACATAGCAAGTATCTTGATGAAACTATTGATATGTGGGTGGGGGGTTCTCCGTTGATAACAGTACGAAGCTGTATTATTTAATCAGTTAAAATCCTATTAGGTCTTCTTTATATTAAAGGACTTAGAGGACACTAGATTGCCAATACTTGTGCCTCGTTATTAGCAAATTAATTATTTATTTGCTACTTAGTCATCCATACTACATTTAGGCAAGCTCTCATCCGATTACCAAATGATAACCGCTCTCATTTTTGTGAAAGTCGATTCGAACTAAAAGGGCTAAATATTCATAGACCTTGCTCCATTTATATTGATCGGCGAAGTGGTGGAGAGATAAATAATACATTAGAGAGAGAGAAATAGAGAGCGAGAGAGAGAGAGAGAGAGGGGGTGAAAAGGGCTGGATTGTCAACATGATAGAATGTACAGCGAAGATATCAGGGAGCATGGGCGTCAGTGCATATAATGTGTGTGCCTGGACACGTCTGCCATATACCCGGAAGATTCCCCCAAAGGAAAATAGTTCACCCCAACCGCATCTGAACGGTCAATAGCCTCGAAATAGAGAAAGATGTTACGGAAACTGAAATAAGATTTTTAAGAGTTTTGTCTTATAAAAAGTTGCGGTTGATCTAAATCAATCGCAACTTTAAAGTCCCCTATTTCTTATGGACATAGTTGCGATTGATATCAATCACACATAAGTTGAGATTATTTGGTTAAATGGATATTAAATGGTCGTTTCCAGAAAAGTAATACAGACAAGTAAATAAATAGACCTGGTTAATAGCCTAGAAATAGAGAAAGATGTGACGAAATCAGAAATATGATACTTTTTCCATCTTTTAAAGAGTTGCGATTGATCCAAATTAATCGCTGTTCTTCTAATCAATCACAAGTCTTATGTACAAAGTTGCGATTGATATCCATATTGATAAGTCCTCTCACACAACGCAACGTGAAGAAACCTTAATTAGTACTTCAAGTTTATAGTTAAAGATAAAATTAGGTTCTGGTCATGTGATTACTTTGTGGAAGAAATTGCTTTAATAGAGGTAATTTGGGAAAGGTTCCTAATGAAGTAAATGAGTAAAAAAAGTATACAATATTTTGGAATGATGAAATAGTATAAATGGTAGTAAATCGACTTAGCCGTTCTGTAAATCACATGTACTGCACAAACGGTAAAAGGAACTATACATATATATGTGTCATGAAAGCTTGGTTTGAACCCTTGAGCTCTTTCTCGTAAAAAAAAGTGATTATTAGTGCATTTAAGGACAATCCGTTTTATAAGAGATTTTCTACTATGATAAGAGAATGACAACGACCACAAATTATTTTTCACCTTCACCAGAACTTATTCTCTTTTACACGATAACACATGAAAGCAACCAAGTTTATTATAAGTTTTTACCTGCTATCCTGTCAAAATGTTTATTTCCTTCGTTATATATTTCATGTTGTCGATACATTTATTCTTGACGAATGAAATCAAATCTATCCAAACCGTTTTGATTTGGATGTTTCTAGAACTTGTTAAAGTGCTTTGACGCTACTGTTCTGGTAAATACCGTCATATGAATTGATAGGCATTTCATACTGGTTCAGATCCCAGCTCCATGCAGGGAACCCTGGTCGTTTGACCTGACCGACCAGTATCATTACAAACTCATACTCGTACGGGTCACCAATATTGGTCAATAAAGTTCTCAGAAGATGTAAACTTTATCTATAAAAAATAAATCACATTGTCAAATTCATTTCATGAAAAAAGGTAAGAAAAATTATTCAAGCTTTATCGGCAACAACGTTAATGTACTGACTCCTCACTCTCATTCGATATTTCGATCCTAATTGTATGCTCCTAGAAGTACATTGTTACCAATAGGTGATGGTCTGATAAACACGATTCGCCTGTCATTTCATTTCATGAATATTTATTTGGGTTTTGGGGTTGAGACATCAGAAAATTACTATAACATAATTATGTGCGTTATCATTTTTCACAAATAAGCATTTGTCACAACTAGAGAGAAATTAATCTAATCGGAGTGTGGTTTTCTCATTTTTTGTACAAGTGTATTGAAAAATAAATGAATAGAAATGTGTTAGACCTTGAAATAAATTGGTATAGAGAGTACAGAAAGAAAAAATGGAGAGGGAGAAAGGGGGAGGGAGAGGGGAGACAGAAATAGAGGGAGAGAGAGAGGGGGAGAGATTAAACTAGCAAAGAGACATGTTAAAGACAATGAGATCAAAATGGATAGATATAGAGATTGAGAGAGAAATAGTGAGAGAGAGAGAGAGGAGCTGAGAAAAAGAGCATATAATGAAACATCGATTATGAATGATAATGATAGAGAATGACTTTAGTTCGGCCAATGGGAACAGCAGAAGATTTCATATAGCCCCGTGTAAATGTGCATGTTTATCATATCGTAACATTTATTTCGTTTGGTAGACGCGTAGGCCTGCATTCTACTGAAATTTAAACCCGACATTAGGTTTACGCTTTTCATAAAAATCTGGTTCAACAAAGAAAATTAGTCTGAAGTCTATAAAATTTCCTTTTATTTAAACATGATTTGATACCCGGAGTAGGCCTTCGGTTTAACTGAAGTAGTAGCAGTATACGGATCGTAGGTGGAGAAAACTATTGCATCACAGGATTGGTTTGAAAACTGTTGTTCCATTCACAAGGAAAAGCATTACGATGGATTCAAAGTGGAAGACAATCATGATCATCTTCATTATTCACGGCTTACTAGAAACCCAAGCTGGATCTGCTTCTCCACGAGGTAAGAAATATTGGATTTGTCGGTGGTAAACGACGATCTGACGACAATTGCTCCGAGGTCAAACTTAACCTCACCCTAATCCAAAAACTAACCATAAACCTAACTTAAAACCTAATATTAACGTACCCAAAACCTTTGTTGAATAAAGCCCTGGCAAATTGTTGCAGGAGCACAAATGGGGGTCATCGATCTGGCAACAAATTGTTGCTCCATGGCGAATGTCCTACACTAGCTAATTTCCTACACTAGCTAATTTCCTTTATTCAACAGTTGACTCGCCTCCTTATTTGTTTTGCTTTGAAATGAAAAGATATGGAGCACAGTCAACATGACTGTCGAGAACTCAACTCAAGACCGATTTCCACAGCCAATTCCATATCCTACTTAAAGTGTTCTGATATTAAACATAATACGTTTCTGTAATTTGTAATTTATCTTTGTGCAAATCAAAAGGTGATGGAGAAGGCTACTGAAAGTGCTTGAGGCTGTTTTTTAATGTCTTTGTGATCGTGTTATAAAGATATACAGGCGAAATGAAGTTTTAAAAAATGCACAGAAGATATGTGATCTCTTAAGGTAGGTTAAAGGGATCCGGTAACTTTGTCTCAGATTCTGAAACAAAATCCTGGATTTAGCTCGTGCTGCAATAATAATTATAAACCTTTAGGTCAGTCAGGAACCCCATGACTTGTACCAGCCGATCACCTGTCTAATTATCAAGATATTTATGATTGGAAATGGAAACCAATTTTAGCGTTTTCCTAACGGTTTTCCTGTTTGGGGAAAACGAATATGGTAAATCCGGTCATTCAAAGATTATTACTTTTTGAGGCACTTCTTGATCATTTTGAAGCGCAATTTGTTTAGGGCTTCGATATTACACCATAACACAGACACTGATAACATAATTATATAACGGTGTAAATCTCAGATTTAACATTGTTAAACGATGCCTTTAATTTGGACACAGAATATAATGATGCTTTTATTCTAAAGAAAAGACATTATAGTCTGAATCTTATTCTGTTACTAATTTTCTCAAATAACATTCATTTTCTTTTGGAATACATTAAATAATTATGTAATGTATAGATCTCAAAGAAAAATGTGTTTCACTCCTGTACCTTTCGAGAGTAGCTGCTATATCTAAAACCTGTTCTATCTCTCCTTTTCGTTTAGAATCTGATTCATCTTCGTCCTCTAGAGATTGTGATAATCCTACTTTAACATCTATGTTTAAAGGACAGAATAGACAGGTAAATAACTAATTGATTCGTGCATCCATGTTTAAAGGGAGAAAAAGACAGGTAATAAGGAATTCTATACAGTGTTCTTAAAATATTAGCCATTCCCTTCAAATTTTTAAATTTACTCTGCAACATTGTCTGACAATTAGCCAGTTCATAGTTGCAGTCTGAGCATGAGCAGATAAAGGTCATTGCAAACCAAATTGTGAAATACATGGAGACAAAATACTGGATACGTGCTCATGAAAGTTATGTTATCATTATTCATTATGCACAAGTAGTGCACTCCATGATACACAGGTGGAAGTATTCTTTGGAAAGGAGAAACAAAGGCTATTTATGTAGCACCTCTATCGCTGTAAGAGTGATTATTTCAAAATGTACAAAGTGGGACCTTTTCATGTTTTGAAGATCTGTAGATATTCGGAATCATTTGGGACATGTGCTAACCCTGAAGTGGTCTATTTAGTCAATAAAAGGTCCTCATGCTTTGGAGATTAGAAAGATATATTTTTAAAAGTCTTTTCTAAAGCGGTGGAGTGGGTGTGCTCGAACTGATAAACCTCTGGGTTGATTTTACCATGGTTCTTAGAAGGTCCATGTTTTTACGGGCATTAATATTGAACAACGTCTCTCATATAGTAATGTCCTTTGTAAAATTTACACAGCAGTCCAAGAAAAACACAATTATCAAATTTGTTCAGGAATTTCTCATATTTCACGGAGTAGGCTACAAATCAGTATTTATTGTGTTTACAAAATGTGTAAATGTCTTTAAATATTTGTTTAGTTCTGCGGTAACTTTCTGATCGGTTGTCAATATTACTAATGTCTAGGTCACATCTGCCGCGGCGGCCGTGCGGTTTATAATATCTACGGCCAATAGCAATTATAGGACCGCCGCAGCATTCCCACGGTCACATGTGTTAGGGTAGCCGAACGGCGTATTCTGAATTTGTGTAGACAGAAAATCTGCGACAGCCGTACGGCCTTTGAAGTGATAACGCACGGTCGCCTTAGGGCGTCCCTGCGGCGGCCGTAGCTTTTTGATAAATATTAAGGCAGACGCAAGGTAGCCGTGAGGTGCCCGCAAGGTGGCCGAAGGGAGACATTACGGTGACCGTGCGGCCAGACTAATGCTACCGCTTCAACCCTGGAGTATATAAAACGCAAGGCTGTCGTTCTACGGCGTTGCTACGGCGAACCTAGAAATGAAAATAACATGAAAGTAGCCATCGTGTAGTAAAGTTATTCGTTCATATAGCTCTTTCATGCAAAACTAAGACGCAAAACTATAACATTCGGGTACTTTTATACTACCTATTACATTACCTAACAAGTTTTCAAAATGATAACCTTCTAACGTGATTCAATTTCATTTCCTTTGTAGAAGAGAGCTGTGCCAACCCGAGGTAAGTAAGATCGAGGGGTTTTTAAACGAAAAATTAATCCTGAGAAATAGGGGTAGAACAGATAACTGCTATAAAGTGCTTTAAAGACACCTCATTACAGTACGATTCCATGACTTAGGGCTGTAGTAAAGATCCTAAGGCCAAATAAAAGTAATACCTGGTTTTCGTCCCCTTTTAATTTCTTTAAACAAACCGCCTAAAGTTGTTTATTATTTGATATTTTTGTTCAGAAATGAAAATACACCCTACAACTGGGAACATATAAACATTTAATATAATGCAAACCTAATTCAAATATTGTTTTTAAAAAAAAATATGTCGAAAACTCATCATAGTTACTATGTATTGGTACTGTTTTCTAAGTGGTCTACATGTTTCATAATGATATTGTTGCAATTCATACTGCACCCTTTGCACTAAGATGCCATCCACGAGTTAGTGTTACCAAGCAGTGTAAGTTCAAAGAATGCGTAAGAGTTTAGAACAGAAAGGTCTCCAAACTCTGTTGGAATTTTTCTACTGTTGGCAGGTTGGTGATGATTTTTATTTGAGGGCGTAGCCTGTTCCAGAGTGTGCGAGCAGGAAAGGTGAAAACTGCATTGCCAGCTAATTTGTCGATGAAAGGTTGAAAGATCACTGACGGTCTGTTTTCCTCTATTAATCAATTTGTTTAAATCATCGATCATACTTTTAATGCTAAGTTCTCATTCCATCCACAGGTGTTACAGATGAAACAACCGTGCCGACAGCGTCAAGAAGTGTAAGTTTTCAATAACGGGGTCATCTGACATACAAACATTCACTAAGAACACTTTAATTCGGTGTAATTAAAGAATTGACTAATTTTTTTCCAGATGAAATTTTGTATGTGATATATTGAATTAACGTTCATCTAATAATTTATTTGTTCTATTTTACTTACTCGCTTTATCACTTATTCATTCATGCATTCCTTTAATTCTATTTAATTGTTGGCAGTTAGAACAGTGATAAGTTTCATGAAACCAAGTTGAATGATAAAACGATACACTTAACATTGATTGCTTGGTTACTGGATTCGTATTCTTCTACTTAGTTATGCATGTAAATCTGAATTATCCTGTTTTCGTGAAATCTACATATCACATTCTAAGAATTTTAGTTATTTCATGAATTAATCTATTATGATTATACTGACGAAAAAGAATTGTATATTTCCGTTTGATTACAGGCCACTCTTGATACGCCTACAGAAAAACGGACTCCAACGCCAAGTAAGTATTCACAAACTGATGTGAAGGTGTCATGGTAAAGGGGTTAAGTCACTTGACTCTCAATCTGAATTTCTCAATCTGAATTTCCTTTGACAAGACATTAATCAGCATCTGCAACTTCCTACCCAGTTTAATTGGGTTCCTGACAATCGCCAAAGTAATAATAATTGCAGGACACTCTGGCAAAATAGCACTGAATCTAATGAGGCTTCTCTTGGTAGACAAAATCCTGATTATGATCATTATCTTTATCAGGTGGGCTGTATATCGTACAGACCACCTTATAATTTCGTTAGAATTGCCTTTATTTATTTATCAGGTGGGCTGTATATCGTACAGACCACCTTATAATTTCGTTAGAATTGCCTTTATTTATTCTTTATTTTTCTTATTTCTAACCACTTTTTTGTGGACAAGATAACTTGAAAATGGCTCAATCACATGCCTTCAAATTTGGCACACATATGTATAGGCATTGGAACAAAACACAGACATTTTTTCAACCTTGACCTTGACTGATGACGTCATCAAGGCGCCGTTTTGTGAAATTTTCTGAAAATCAACTCATGATCATATCTTCATAATCAAAAGTCAATTCTCATTCATATTTTTCATGATCAAGGTCATTATCCGTCCGGTCAATTTCAGGTCAGTGCGCGCGCAAAATTTCAAAATGCTCAAAATAGTCTCAAAATTTTTTTGCATACGTTTTAGGCCATTTTAAGCATTTTATAAAAAATCGGGCACACGCGCATGCGCGCGCGTTTTTGCGCGTAAAACTATTACACAACATAGAATCGCCATTTTTTTTTCTTTCATGATATTCCACATTTTTTTACAATCAAATTGATTCCATGTTTATCTCTTTTTGACTATTAATAACGGAATGAGCGTCCGTTTAACATAAATGTCCGTGCGCGCGAGCCTATGTAATACATAGCATATGGGTAAAAACATGCCTATACATAATCAATTAAAGCTCTTTAGGATGCACCTAGACCCCAACTTTTGTCTTCATATTTGGATAGAGTATGAGTCTGAAATATGATTTTATGTACGTCTCATTTGGCCATTAAGTGTATCGTGACATCATAATAATGACCTTGGAACTATATATATGGATTTGCATATTATGAAATCAGCATATTTATGGAAAATTGATTGTATCTCTGTATATATTTATCGATTTTCTTCCAAATTTCGATATGTTGTAGCTAAGACAATTCTCTACAAGCTCAGTTGTCACCATTTTACATTTTGATGACGTCACCGTAGTGAAAATCTCGATTTAAGGCCTCGTGTAAGAAATTTCATAATTTGCGTGTTGTGCTTTTAGAAGGTGAATTTCGTTCACGTCATGAAGCTACATAATATTGTTTTTCAAGCATTTTTAAGCAGTATCTCGCTCAAGTTTACTCTATTTTGTCTCAAAGTTTAGTTGGACCAGCCCACCTATACTTGTTCCAAACAAGTATTACAAATCTAGTTATTCTTTATCAGGTGGGCTGTATATCGTACAGACCACCTTATAATTTCGTTAGAATTGCCTTTATTTATTTATTATCAGGTGGGCTGTATCTAATACAGACCACCTAATATTTTTGTTAAAATTGCCTTTATTATTATTTATTTATTTATTTATTTTTCTTAATTCTTACCACTTTTTTGTTAGCAAGATAACTTGAAAATGGATCAATCAAATAACTTGAAATTCGGCACATATATGTATAGGCGTATAGAGAAATTAAAATAACGTTTTAAACCTTGACCTTGACTGATGACGTCATCTAGGCGCCATTTTGTGAAAATTAACTCATGATCATATCTTCATAACGGTCATTTTTCATTCATATTTATCAAGATCAAGGTCAATATTAGCTCAAAAACGCGCGCATGCGCGTACGTCCGCGCGTCACTGCGCGCGCAAAAAAATTAAATGCTCAAAAACATCCAAAATTTATTTTGCATACGTTTTAGGTCATTTTAGCATTTTATAAAAAATCGCGCAAACGCGCATGCGCGCGCGTTTTCGCGCGTAACACCATTACAAAACATAGAATCGCCATTTTTTTTTCTTTCATGATATTTCTGATATTTTTCAAACAATTTCCTACCATGTTAATCTCTTTATGACCATCAATAACAAGATGAGCGTCAATTCAAGATAAATGTCCGTGCGCGCGAGCTCTTTTAATGCATAGCATATATGGGCAAAAACATGCCTATACAAAATCCTTTATAGCTCTTTGGAATGAACCGTGACCTTCAATTTTTTTTCATATTTAGATAGAGTATGAGTCGGAGATATGATTCCATGTCTCATTTGGCCATTAAGTGTATCGTGACATCATCATAATGGCCTTGGAACTCAAAATACGAATTTGCATATTATGACATCAGCATATATATATAGTTTTTTTGTATCTCTGTAAATATTGATCGATTTTCTTCTAAACACTGATACGTTGTAGTCAGGCGCGTACACAGGGGGTGTTTTCTGTAGGTTAACCCCCCCCTAAAAAAACATAGAAACAATTGTGCTTACTACCCCCCCCCCCCCCTGTGACACCTCAATCACGAAAAATGAGCAAGGAATGACAACGTTCTGTTTGTTTAAAGTAGTGCTTGCATTTCCATAAATTTATCAAACGAATTAGTTTTCACTGGCTGCCTGCCGTTTTGTTGACAATCAGCCGTAGACGAAAGACTTCATGCATGGCTGATTGTCAACGAAACGGAGTTAAGTCTTTTTGTCAATTTTGCTTGTTGCTCCGTTTAATACAATTATGGAAATGCAAGCACTACTTTAAACAAACAGAACTTTGTTATTCCTAGCTGATTTTTCCTGAATGAGGTGTCATATGAAAGGGCAGAAACACAACTTTCTAGAAATGTGATTTATTCTTTGAAATTCAGATACCGTCCGCCAAATGACTTTTTGGTTTCCTCTCTTCAAATTCATCTTAATCACTCATGCATGAAATATGCGTCATATGAGTTTAGTATAAGCTTTACAAATATGTTTCATTTATTAATTATAATTATGATTAAGTAATGATAAAACATCGATAATTCTCGATTTCGTTTTTTCTGGGACGCACTGTATATATACTCATTCACCCTCTCCCTTTCTCTTTGTCTCCCTTTACCTCTATTGCCTTGCCTCTCTCTTCTTCTCTTGCTATGTCATCCTCTGCCTCTCTCAGTCTCTTTTTATTCTCTCTCTCTCTCTCCCCCTCTCCCTTTCCCGCCTCTGCTTCTTGTTCTACCTCTATTATGTCTTGTAATGTTCCTTAACTTTCTCTAGCTCTTCCCTTTGCCCTTTGTATTCTTTTTCACCCCTACCATGTTTCCTTACTATCCCCTATTCTTCCAAGTGCATGCATTCTGATTCTTCTTGTATCCCTCTGTCCAGCTCATTTGGTAATTAGGGGGTTTGTTAACGACTGACCTATTGATTTCGTCAAAATCGTCTTTCTTTATTTCTTTATATTAATTTGTCCACTTTTTTGTGCAAGCGATTACTCAAAATCGGTTCAGTCAATTCTTTCAATTTTGGCACAGTCATAGGTCATTGTCATAAGACGTGACGGAAACATTTTCAAGGTTATCACGTATCGGAAATTCCTTTGAAGGACACAATCCTCTGCGTCTAAGCCAGTGCAAATGACATGCATTACCAATAAGGTGGGGCTACCTATATAAAAATGAAACTATAAAAATGAAAGATAAGTCCCTTATCAAAAGAATCGTAGAAATTTACAGAACTTACGCAATTACTGTATAGACAACTTGATTTGAATTTGTACAATATATCATCTAGATGATGGTACAAGTGATCAGGATCTGTGTGACGCTGGTTGGACACGTAACGGTAATGCATGCTACCAACTAGTTGAATCTACCGTCAACTATACTACAGCCCTTGATGCGTGCAGAAATCTCAATGACTACGGTGATCTGGCGAGCGTAGCTGATCAAGACGAAAGCAACTTTACTCTCGCATTATTGAGGTAAGCCCCCTACCCCAGACCTCACTTCTCGAATACAAGAGCCACAGCATGGAATTCTCCGTTGGCAGCAACGCTCACCCACACGCACAGGCACACCTTTAGCCGCGTACCCTCCCATGCCACTTTTCACCCACAAGCACGCGCAGAGCGTGGCCTGTGGACGAGTATGCTCAGAGGTTCAAACGCCATCACAGTTTCATCACACAGATCGGAGCCGATGATAGGGCACCAAATTGCACTTTGCTTTAAATCTGACATGACGTCAAATTCGTTGTTCAAGTACAAAATTCCTTTTTTAGATTCATGATATGAAGCCATATAAATATGGTAAAACATCTGTTTTCAAATACAACGCGCTACAAATTTAAGCTACCACATTCCTAGATCAGTACTGTATCATGATTTCTATCAAGGGTATTACTATGAAAAGATTGTATAACTTTTTAAAACATTTTATTGATCAAATACACAGATGCACCTTTGATACGAATTATTACTGGATTGGGTTCAATGACCTCGATGAAGAGGGAACTTGGGCCTGGACTGATGGCTCAGTTTCATCCTATACCAACTGGTATTCTGGAGAACCATGTAAGTAAATAACAACAAATTCATTTTGCAGAATGAGTAAAATCGCTAGGCATGGTAGGTGTGGATGTCCCTCCGATAAAGACTGATTATATAAGCATAATTTATTCAAGCTTAACTTCTTTCCATTTATAATAATACATTATTGATCACTGAACACAATTCTGAAGGTACCTTCGTGGCGCTCCTACAAAATTTCTCCGCACTGTGATTCGTCAAAGATATAGAATAAAGGCTTGGGTTTAGGTTACACTAGAATTTTAGTTTAAATTGTATTGTAAGAGTATACTTGTATGTTGGTTCGAGTGTTTAATTTTTGTTGCAGGGTTCGATTACGGTAGGATGTTGATCGCGGAGCTATTATTACTGGAGCAGGTTTCGCAACGACAGTTCTTAAATCAAATATTACATATAGCCTATAAGCTAAGCTCATCAGTTCTGATATTGTTATTTCTTAATTTAGCTGGTGGATCTGATCATTGTGGTGTATTACGAAGGAGTTCAGACGGCACATGGTATGATGCAGGCTGCTCGTCAACATACGGCTACATCTGTAAATACCCGCTAAACACCAGTAAGTCACACTCTATAATCAGATCCAGAGTGCTTGCAATTAATATATGGTCTCTATGACTCAGGTTTCGAGTATAATTCAACGTTATACATATAAATTGCTTTAGTGAACTTTCCATCTTGTTAAACAAGGTCTCTTAGCTCTAGACTAGCTCTATTGCTTAGTGTAGCCTATCTGCTGAATTATAATGATATAGGTGAAAATAAAGTGAAATAATGTCTTTTTACTTAATTATGTCATATATTGTTTGTTGTAAATCCAGGATCAGTAAGAGGTTCGTTTTCACTTAACTCATCGATCAATAGCTATACCATGATGACTTAAAATTCATGTCCGAGTAGGACCGAAGAAAAAAATCCTTGATATAATTATTTACTCTCCCTTCCTCTTCCTTTCTCTTGATCAGTTTCCTGTGCTGAATGGAAGCGTAAAGGCTATACATCTAATGGATACTACACAATAGATCCTGATGGGAGAAATAATGGAGTCGATCCATACAGAGTACACTGTGATATGACTACGGATGCTAGCACAGGTAACATATCAACGATAAATTATTAGTTAAAGTAGTCACGAATCGGTCATGTATTACTATTCATAAAGATATTGTCCGTGTGTTTACTCATTATTATTACAATTTGTCTTGGTTATCTCGGCTAGGAATCACGACGTTCGAGCACCAGGAGGCGAATCGATCTTTGGTAACAGGTGCAGAAGTGGCTTTTAGTTTCGTCCGAAATATTACCTATGGTGACAAGTCGGTTGATCAAGTGGCTACCGGTGCCGATATCAGCGGGGAGTGCTACCAATATATCAAGGTAGGGTAACACCGAGGTTTCTACTTTTTTCTCAAAGTTCCTTGATGGTATATATATATATAAATAACCCTACATAGTACATTAAGTGGACATCTTAAAAATCCTAACCCTAACCCTAATCCTAACCCCAATGTCTACTTAATGACTCATTTATTCTCTCCAAATGTCCCTCCAATGACGCCTTAAGTAAAATTACATATATATATATATATATAAAAATAGACCTTCTATTTATACCCCCTGCCAGTCAATAACTGTTATATTAGATAGCCTTGGTTTGATTTTTTTGTTTTTGCCCAAAATTGTTTTCACTTTTTTTCTTTTTTAAGGGGACAATCAACATTTTAGAAAAAGAAGTGCAAAAAAAAAAGAAAATTGAGAAAAATAATATTTCGAGATAATTCAAGAAAAAACTAAATTCTTAAAAAAAAAAGATTTTGGGAAAAAAAAAATTGAATTTAAAGGGAAAAAAAAAGAAGAAGAAAAATCGAAAAAAAGAAAAAAAAATCTTACCCCCAAAAAGCATTTATTGGGGAGAAAAAAATGTGGACAAAATAATTTAGAGGGGAAAAAAAATTCATGAAAAAAAAATATTGACAAAAAAAACAATTACCCTTGGTAATGGTGAATTGTGTGTAATTGGTGACATTTTTTTTTTCTAAGGGGACAATCAACATTTTAGAAAAAGAAGTGCAAAAAAAAAGAAAATTGAGAAAAATAATATTTCGAGATAATTCAAGAAAAAACAAAATTCTTTACAAAAAAAAATTTGGGGAAAAAAAAAAATTGAATTTAAAGGGAAAAAAAAAAAAAAAAAAAAAAATCTTACCCCAAAAAGCATTTATTGGGGAGAAAAAAAATGTGGACAAAATAATTTAGAGGGGAAAAAAATTCATGAAAAAAAAATATTGAAAAAAAAACAATTACCCTTGGTAATGGTGAAATGTGTGTAATTGGTGACATACAGTCTTTAAGAGGGCGACATGCATTGATTAAAAATATATTCATTTCACCAGCTAGTTTATATAACACCGAAAAGTGACCGGCCAAGAAAATATAACAATTTGGATCCTCACAATCACGTGACGAGCTCTGGACCAATCACATCTCGGTATCTGTCTAAGCTATCTAATATTACGCACTATGACATGCTACATCATATCTAGGGTTCAACATTACCTATTTTCCTGTGATCGCAGATTTACAGCAATCTCAAGGTGATATTTTTTTTAATAAATCTACATATAATCCTTTCGAGTTACAAAATTATTTGCATTGAACTTTGATGTGTTGCGGGATTGGCATAACTTTACTCTTTTGACTTTAACGAATTGTTTAAAATGACGTTGATATATTATAATGTCAAACACATTTCATTTGTTATATTTTTTCATATTTTTTAAATCTGTCATTTTACTTTTTAAATTATATTTCAACTTGAGTGCACTTGGCAGAGATTCTTCTCTCTTTCTATTTTTCTTGTTCTACTCTGTCCCTCTCTACCCCTTTCCTCCAATCTTTCGTATATTCCCTGATCAAATTTTCTTTCTTTTTTCTTCTTCCTTCTATTCCTCTTTCTAGTTCCGTCTTTCTCTTTCTCTCTCTTTCTCTCTCTCTCTCTCTCTCCTTTTTTGATGACACAGAAGGTTTTTAGTGTTTTTAATATTTGTAATATATTTAAATTTTAACGTAATATTCGTAATATATTTAGATTTTGATGTAATATTCGTAATATATTTAGATTTTGATTTAATGTTTGTAATATATTTATATTTTGATGTAATATTTGATTCTCATTTTGTTTCATTATGTATGATTTATAGTCGTACGTTTTATTTGTTCATATTTTGATCGTTTATTGTGTTGTATATTGACTTTGTAAATTGAATAATTTCAGCTTCCCAGCTGCATGTTCTTTTATTTCAATAAACCGAATCAAATCAAATCAAAATATTTCTTCTTTTTATTTTCCTCTTCCATCACCGTCTTAGTACGAATGCCATCATTCCCATTTGACTGGCTATACTGCTTGGTATGACAGAGATGGAAAGCTGAAGAACTACTGGGGTGGAGCCACGGTAGACAGCGGGCAGTGCGCTTGTGGAATCTCAGGTATGACTGTAGGTCATCATAGAGGGCGTCCTTGGCTTACAGGATCAGAGCCATCCGTGTACAGAGTTTGGCCAACTTGGCATCAGTTGGCTACAACATGACGTATTTGTATTTATTTGTTTTGTGCTAGCCCTCGACAAAGCAGTATTCGCAATATTGTAACCAACTAGAACCGTGTTGCTCAAACTCTGTATATTGATTTTCTGCACTGAATGGAATGGGGTTATCTCACATGAATGCAACAGCAGTAATGCCAGGTGCACCGGAAGCAGTTTGGGATGGGGGAGGGGGGGGGGGGTTCTCGGAGTTTTTTTTATAGATATTTAACTACGGTCCGATGCGCATCCATGTGGCTTGCCTTAGGACCCGTGGGGTCCAGGGGCGTATTCAGGATTTCTTAGGGGGCCCAAATTTGATATTTTGCGAGCCAAATAATGGGGGGGGGGGACCAAGAAAAAAAATCCCCATTACCCCCACTCTTATATGCAGGCCCCGCCGAACGTTTCTCGGCGGGGTTAAGGGGCGGAGCTTCCAGAAGCCAGTATCAGTATAGGCATTTAATTACTGTCAGATGAGCATATTTTGATACCTTATTAATTTTTTGACACTGGCAGGACACAAGTTGGTGTGGGTCCAGAGGGCGGAGCTCCAGAAGCTCAGAGGTTTTAACCATTAAATTATCTTTAGATAAGCATATTTTTATACCTTATTTGTGACACTGGCAGGTCACGAAGTGACCTGGGGTCCAGGGGCGGAGTCCCCGGAAGCGCAGGGGTTTTGGGCAATAAATAACGGTCAGATGAGCATATTTTTATACCTTATTTGTGACACTGGCAGGTCACTAATTGGCGTGGCGTCCAGGGGGCAGAGCCTCGGAAGCTCAGGGCATTAGGCATTTAATTACGTCAGATGAGCATAATTATACCTTATTTGTGACACTGACAGGTCACTAATTGGCGTGGGGTCTAGGGGGCGGAACCCCCAGAACCTCAGGGGGTTCAAGCATTAGAGGGCAGAGCCACCGGAAGTTGAGGGGTTTTAGGCATTTAATTACGGTCAGATGAGCAAGTATTTTGATACCTTATTTGTGGTACTGGTAAGTCATTAATTGGTGTGGGATCCAGGGGGCGGAACCCCAAGGAGCTCAGGGGTTTTAGGCAATAAATTACCGTCAGATTAGCACCCAGTTGCCTGATTTTGGGCCCTAGGTGCTATCCAGGTAGTATAAGCCCCCAGAAGCTCAGGGGTTTTAGGCATTAAATTAACAGCAATTTTTTTTTAATTTTTCTTTTAATTTTTTTTTTTTTTGCCCCGGAATTGGAAAATTACGTCGTCAGATATTTTGTTCAATGGCTAAGGGGGGAAGGGTGAGGGGGGATCACCTTTTTTTTCTTGCTTTCTTTAACCCTATTTAGCCCGGGGGGGGGGCTTGAGAAGCCCCCCCCCCCCCCTCGACATTTTTCGCGATAATTTTTTAACGCAAGAAAATCTTGCACTGAAATTTTGTGACTTTTTTCTTTCGAGTCTTGCGCAACTTTTGAAAGAAATTTTTCGAAAATCGGACCTACCATTACAAAGTCACGTGTCCTTTTGTCTTCGCATGTCAGCCCGAAAATCGCTCATTTTTGTGATTTGTGTACAAAACATATGGAAATCTCATTTTTCAAATAAAGAGGTAAAACATTGGTTATTTGGTCTTGTTTAGATTTTAGGTGTTTATTTTGGGGTCAAAATAGTTGAATTATAGTTGGAAATGAAATAAAACAACAAAAACAATAAAATACATAAGTTAAAAAAACAAAGAAATACATAAGAAATTATCAAAACAATAGATAACATAAGGAATAACCCTGGTTTTTCAAATTTTTGTGTTGTATTATTATTCCAAATGGTCTAACAAATATATGTAGTGAGAAAGAATGCTTAAATATGAATAATGCCTGATTTATGGTGAATGTGAATTTAATGACCTTATTTGCATAAATTACCATAAATATGCAAATGAGTGTATTTTTCAAAAAAATTGAAATTACCATAGTATTCTATACACTTCACTTGACATGTATGCAAATTTTCGCGGCGATCGGGCGTTTCACGGCCGAGATCATAGGGGGGGCCTGAGAAGCCCCCCCCCCCCCCCCCGGGCTATGCAGTTTCAAAATAGCCCGGGCTAAATAGGGTTAACACCAAAAAAAAAAAAAAAAATCTTTCCCCTTTTTTTGCCAGGGGGGGGCGGCCCCCCCTGGATACGCCCGGAAGCTCGGGGGTTTAAGGTATTTAATGACGATCAGATGAGCATCCAGGGGACCGCCTTAGAGTCCTTGGTGGGGTCCGGGGGCGGAGCCCCCGTTAGCTTTGGGGTTTTATGCATTTACTTACGGTCAGATGAGCATATTTTGATACCTTATTTGTTACATCGGCAGGTCACTTATTTTTTCTCTCTCTCTTTCTTTTTTTTTTCTCTTTAACATACTATTTCAAAACGTGAGGGGGCTCGAACCTCCAAGCCCAGTCGTTCTGCTTTTCTTTTTTTTTTTGGAGGGGGGGGGGGGCTTTTTTTAGGAGGGTAAAATTGCGTTTTGCCCCCCCCCCCCCCCCCAACTTCAGCGCCTTTGAGTAATGCCATTGTAATACATTATCTCAAATAGTGAAGTACTAGTCCATAACATAAACCGAAGTTGTTAGCAGTTGTCAACAGTTGTCAGCATTGCAGCTTTTTGCACACTAAAGCAAAAAGAGCGCATTGGAAAAACATGTAGATATGTTTAATTTGAAATGAACGACCATCATAAACCGGAAAATTGGTGTTGCAACAGTTGTCAACATTGCAGCTTTTTGCGCACTAAAGCAAAAAATCAAGCACATCGGAGAAACATATAAATACGTTTTATTTGAAATGAAGAACCTACATATCCCATCGAGATAAGTTATGAACGAATGGATCTTGATCTTCGTCTTTCAGGTTCATGTACCAACGGTCACCCATGCAACTGCGATACCAATGACAATACCTGGAGAGAGGACTCGGGGTATCTTACCGATAAGACTTCTTTACCTGTTACTGAAATGAGGTTTGGTGACACAGGAAGCACCAGCGAGTACGGGTATTATACGCTAGGACCATTATACTGCAAGGGAGATGAATCTTGTAAGTTTTTATATGAAAACGATCACTTATTATTACATAGCTTCGTAAAAGTTTCTTATCCTAATTGTAAAACAGGTTGGAAATAAACGTTTCTGGCTCTATGACTCCCAGAAAGAGAAGTTGTATGAAACTAAATTAGATTTGCGCTCCGAGAAACGGTGGTTATTATAAATGTACGATCATAGAGATGATGGTTACGTTGACAATGCAGATAATGATTTGAACGATGAATATAATGACGATGATGGAGATAATGATGACGATTATGATGATTATTATTATGCTGATGATGATGTCCATGATGACGACGACGACGACAATGCAGATGATACTGATAGTGACCCCGATGATATAAAAATCAGGGATTACCATTCTGGTAAAATATTTGGTGAAATGACACTGACCCTGTGCTTCGTATTTTCTTTCCATTCCTTAGTCCTTGTGACGGGTCGTACAGATTTCATGTTCATCAAAGAAAGGCATCTTAGTGGTTACAACAACGCAGTCCTGTCTAGCATCACGGTTGAAGAATGCGCCACGGCCTGTGTGTCAGCCTCCAGCTTCATATGTAGATCGTTTGACTATACTCCATCCTTAAGCAAGTGCCATCTCAGTGGGGAGAATGACTTGACTGTTGACCCATCTAGCGATCCTGTTCATCACCTGTTTGTCCGAATCAGTAAGTTCTCCATTTCATATCAGTCTGCTGGATTCTTACTTAGCTCAGAGAGCGCTGATGTGGTGACATTGTATTTGATTTACAACAGCCGTTCAATTCAATGTTGCTGGATTTACCGTTCGCTTTTTAAACTATTCCGAACTGTTCCCCCAACTCCTAGCTATAGGCAGAATTCCACCTGACTGTGATACACTTTGCGTTTGATTAAATTCGACAGTCATTCAATCGGTCAATCTGTCCACAGCTTATACACCCAGACATTCATTAAACAATCGTAATAAACCTCCTGAGTTTGCAAATTAATTTACTCGATGTTGCTGGATTTACCATTCGCTTTTTAAACTATTCCGAAGTGTCCCATTAACTCCTAGCTATAGGCAGAATTCCACCTGACTGTGATACACTTTGCGTTCGATTAAATTCGACAGTCATTCATTCGGTCAATCTGTCCACAGCCAATACACCCAGACATTCATTAAACAATCGTAATAAACCTCCTGAGTTTGCAAATTAATTTACTCGATGTTGCTGGATTTACCATTCGCTTTTGAAACTATTCCGAACAGTTCCCCCAACTCCTAGCTACGCAGAATTCCACCTGACTGTGATACACTTTTCTTTAACAAGATTGAATTTTTATATTAATTCCTTTTTTTTTTCCACCTCAGTGGACCGAATTGAAGACCCATTTACTGGTGAGTAAATCACCTTACTTTTTTTTTTAGCGTGATACGAATTGATAGTGATATGTATTAATGTATTTCAATGTTCGTTACCGTTTGTTACCATGAAGTATTTTCATCAATGATTAATTCTTTTATGCTTCTTGTGAGAAATATTAACTATTTAGTCATATTTGTGGCTTACACCCAGTAAATAAGATCGATTAGTCTATCTGTAATTGAAAAACAAGTCAGAAAAAATCTTGGAACCAGCAGGACTGTGCCATGGACCAGTGATGGCCTGGTGGTAGAGTCGCTGCCTGGCAAGCACAAGATGCAGATTCAAGGCTGACCTACTTTTTAGTTACAGATCGATCAATCGATGTTATCTACTGGGTTTAAGCCACCATAGACGCCGGGAGTGGGGGCGGGCGGGGGGGGGGGGCAAAACGCCCCCTTAAAAAAAGCAGTAAAGGAGTAAAGATGGTTTGTATTTTTTAACCAAAAAGAACATTACAATAAAAAGAACCTGAATTGAATCACATACAAATTATATTCCATTCAGAGAAAAGTAAACAGGAATTAAATTTCCTATACATTTCGCATGCCCCTATATTTATCAATGGTGGTTATAATAATAGTGGAATATCGTGGAAATATTGTGACTCGAACACGGTTCAACGAATCGTCTACTTTCTCTAATAATTTAATGAAACGTAAAAACTTGTGCGGGAAGGGGCAAAACTGAATTCAGATACGGATTAAGCGTCGAGAATAGTAGGCCGACACCGAATCATCTGCTTTTTCTCATAATTTAATGATACGTCAAAGCTTCCGCGCTTCGCGCGGGAGGGGGAGAAAATGAATTCAGACAAGGATTAAGAGTCGAGCACTGTTCAACGAATCGTCTACTTTCTCTAATAATTTAATGAAACGCCATAACTTCCGCGCTTTGCGCGGGAGGGGGAAATCTGAATTCAGATAAGGATTAAGATGAATTCGAAAACAGTACACCGAATCGTCTGCTTTTTCTCATAATTTATGAAACGTCTATAGCTTCCGCACTTCGCGCGGGAGGGGAAGAAACTGAATTCAGACAAGGATTAAGAGTCGAGCACGGTTCAACGAATCGTCTACTTTCTAATAATTTAATAGAACGCCATAACTTCCGCGCTTCGCGCGGGAGGGGCAGAACTGAATTCAGATAAGGATTAAGAGTCGAGAACAGAACACCGAATCGTCTGCTTTTTCTCATAATTTAATGAAACGTCAAAGCTTCCGCACTTTGTGCGGGAGGGGGAGAAACTGAATTTAGACAAGGATTAGCGTCGAGAACGGTACAACAAATCGTCTTCTTTTCCTAATAATTTAAGGAAACTTCTAAGCTTCCACGCTTCGTGCGGGAGGCCTAACACCGACACCCCCCTAATGAGCGCGCTTCGCTTGCTCACTACCGCCCCTCCCTAAAATAAGATCCTAGCTCCGCACCTGCATTAAAATATACGGCTTTGATGTTGACCAAGTTGACGAAATAATTTGTATATTTATGTCGTCGAGGAAAATGATCATTTGCGCATACGCAATTACTATAGATAGTCTATAGGAAAAACAATTTAGCCTTCGGCCCCGGGTTTATAGGGTTACATTTGTAGATATTGGGATATTTAATTTTGTCGGTAATTGGTGGCTAGTTTTGTCGGTAATCGTTGATCGTTGGCCTCTACAACCCCCCCCCCCCCCACTGAAAAAGGTCTAGCGACGCCCCTGTATGCAATATAATATGCACGTACCGAATACGTACCGGGCCGGCCACATGATTTACCATGGTAATTAGCATCATTGATGTCAATATGCTAGAATAAATCAACAGAACGCAGCAGAGCACACATACCGCCCTAACTCATTCAACAGTAAAGGATATCTAGAAATCAGTGGAACTATAGCCTATAAGGCGCCCTGGCAGCCCAGTAGGCCTAGGGAGCAGCTCCACCGCCTCAGCTTCGCCCAGGGGACCCCCTGCACTGCATCGGAGCTACCTGGTGCATGGTGGCCTCGACCGGAGTTACCCTGCAGTTAATTTGTTAAATTTGATCCAATCGTAAATAATAATTTAAAAAATGAGGTGGCTGAATTTTATGTTTACTTTGAAATAGAACTTTTTATATGGTTTTCAGCTGTCTTATTAAATTGCAAGACTGTAAGTACATAATTTTTATTTTATTTGTACTGGACTATAGCCTATCAGTATCCTTGCTGCTGCGCTGGTCAACGTGCAAGTGCATAGATGCAAAATTAGTGGGCGGGATTAAACGCACAATTTCACAAATAAAAAATAAAAAATAAAAAAAATGTACCATGTACCATGGTATTACCAGGGTTTTCAGTACCATGGTTGACATGGTTCTTATGGAGGTTGGTAATTTGGACAAAGATCCATGGTAACCATGGTGCCGAGAACCATGGTTACCCATATGGCTCCGTTTAGTCTCATTTCACAACGCCCCCTATCGTCAGAGCATTGTCAGAGTCAGCAGCCTAACATGTTAGCCTATGGACGTTTTTTTTTTAAATCGTTAAAAATTCAATTTTTGTTTAAACGAAAAGCACATCCACCCCGACGTACGTTATCACTAGCTCTTTCATTGGAGCCCTCATGTCTCATTGACTTTTGAAAGTTCACCCACCGTAATTTTTCAAAATAGGTTGTAAGCTAGTCATTGCCTATAATACACATGTGAAACAAGTCTAACTTTGGACTCGGTTTACCAAGCGATTTGAAGATTATAGGTCGAGCACACGAAACATAAAAAGCATGAATTATCATAGATCACTTCTGCCTATTTCATTATGTCCATTTCATCCAACCCCCCTACCGTAATTTTTCCATTTTAAATGGAAAAATTTAGTAAAAGCAAACATTTTGCCGAGTTTAGCAAAAACATGAATATTCATGAACGGTCAGACAATACAGCCTTTTAGTACGTAACGTATAGTGAATAGGAATGGGCGATGATCCGTTCAGGAGGTAGAGGTCAGTGGTTTGTGCTGGCAATGGTCACGCGAGCGAAAATGAGACAATCGGAGCAATATGATAGTTCTTATTTGGACAAAGATTCATGGTAACCATGGTACCGGGAACTATGAACTTGTAATTCAAGGATTCGTGTCTTGGATCCTTTATGTTAATGAAAAAAAAGTATAAATGTCTTGTCCTTGTTTTTAACGTTAAAAAGGGTGATAAATTTCACAAAATGTCCTTGAAATTGGCTGCAAAAGGGGGTCATTTGCATTTGTGGTAACGGTCATACCCGTCACCCTCTGCAAGGGAGTGAACCCACCGGGGTTGCACCTTACCCCCTGTTTTTTTTCCTTTCGTTTCTTTTTTCAGTCTACGAAATGGCAAAATCAGGGGTGCGACCTATACGGCGCTTTGGCCTTAACGCCGGCAAATACGGAAGCTCATTACAGTAAGGGACTCACAACCCTTTTCAAACATTTGAGTTGCGGCAAACATTCCTTACCCTCTGTCAGGGGCGTCGATTTCTTGGCCGGGTTGGGGGGGGCGAAATGCGAGGGACGAGGGAACAGGGGCGTAACCCCTGAAGCTCTGGTGTTTTAGGCATTTAATAACGGTCAGATGAGCATCCAGAGGGCGAAGCCCCCGGAAGCTCAGGGGCTTTAGGCATTTAATTACGGTCGGAAGAGCATATTTTGATACCTTATTTGTAACACTGGCATGCAGGTCACTAGTTGGAGTGGGGTAAAGGGGGCGTAGCCCCCATAATCTAAGGGGTTTTATGCATTAAATTAAGATCATATGAGCATCCAGGGGCTGCCTTAGGGCCCTTGGTGGGGTCCAGGGGACAGAGCCCCTGGAAGCTGAGGGCAAAACCATGCCATTTCAGCAACATTTGTAATCACTGGTATCGAATTAGAAATAAACCACGTGTGCATTTTATATGGCGGGGGCAATAGCCCCCAAGCCCCCCCCCCCATCATTACGCCAGTACGTGTGACTACCCTTCACAGTTTTTAAAGTTTTGTTGTATTAAAAAATTAAAATTCCTTAGCAAAACTATAGTACACAACAATCAATGTACTTTTTTCAAAACTTTTAAATTGTACACTATGAAGGAAATTATTAGAGGGAGCGTAGCTACCGGTGAGAATATTTTTGCATTTGTTTTTGTCTAAACACTTAACACTCTAGGGTCCTCCAGAGCCTAAAAGTGTGTTGCAATCTTTAGTCAGTATTTGCTATATATTTTTTGTTGGCACTTTTTCAAATTTTCTGGGGGGACGATCCCGCTCCCCCTAAAAAATGAAGGGAGGATATCAACGGCGAAGGAGAACAAGGACCAACATTGACATTTACAAAAAAATAATGGTGGCATCTCAAAGAATTTAAATGTAAAATAGCGTTATATGACGGCCCATGATAAATAGAAATACTTGAACCATCATTCACCAAAATTAAAAATGGAACAGCTAAAGTATATTTAAAAAAATCATAGGTTAAGATATCGACAATTAAAATGCCAATATATATTTCATTCATTAAAAAATAATGACACACCCAAACACTCACACATCATCTGGTGCGCGCTCATACTCCTAACTTTTCATTCGCGAATCACCAATGTCTAAGTAACCTACTGGTACCCAGGGGCAGATCTAGGGGGTGTTACCCCCCCCCCCCCCACCTTGGGCGGCCAAGCGAAAAAGAGAAAAAAAAGTAAAACAGTAAAACGGTAGGATTTTGGGAATTTTTGTTGTGGTCACCCCCCCCCCCTCCCCCGTCCTTGGCAAAAAGCTAGATCCCTCCCCCCCCCCCCCCCTCCTTGGCAAAAAGCTAGATCTGCCCCTGGGACCGGTCTGTTCGCATGCCGTTACAATCAATTACGATCATATTCTAGTACCTGACTTTAATATCTATCATGTATCTATCAACATCTGTTTGTAAATATTACTATTTAGGTGGTCTGTCAACGACAGATCACCTATTAGTTTCGTCAGGATTTTTCTTTCTTTATTTATTAGG